TGCCAGTACCTTGGCAATCACAAGTCTACCTAGAAGTACAATCTGGAATGAGAGGAAAAGAAAGGAAGAAGACGCTTGGCGTGACTTGGAAACAGAGCTTTATTCTGCCCAGCTTTCCTACACGAATGCTGCTGCAGGGCGAGCATTTGATGAACTAATAGATTCATTGTTTTCTCTTAGCTAAGCATGGACTGTTTTCACTCAGAAGCCGCGCCTGTCATGGATGCTGGACAAGCAGCCAGATCTTCCCAGCATCCAGGCACAGTCAGCTGCCTTTGGTTTTAAGGACTGAGAGGAAGAGATGTCATGTAATATTTGGCTTGGACCTGGACAGTGCAAGCTGCAGGCGCAGATGGTTGCAGTTGAGACTCATGCCTCGATGCAGAGTGCTGCAACCTTGAGAGGTAAAAATGCTGGCGGGCTTTTCATGCATTGTTTTTAATGTGTGTACCCTATAGTCCATGCAAAATCTCCCAAAGGGCAAGATGGAGCGAAAAGGCCCTTGGCCTCGGTATAGGAGCATCGTGTGTTTTGGAAGCACAACCTGGGGTGGGTGTGTTTGGACTTTTCTCAGTGTCTGGTGCTGAGTACAACCTTGAGGTACTGAAGGGTTTGGATTCTTCTTTAGCATCTCTCCTGGGCTGATGATGTCTGAACTCTCACAGGCTTCTGTGTGCTTTTCTCCTAATCTCTCCTTTCCCAATCATTTTTAAAATAATGCCATCATCCGTATGCAGTTAGGACCTACCCCAAAGACCCCACTTAACCTTCGCTACCTCTTTCAAGGTGCCATTTCTAAGTACAGTCATGCTCTGGGGTTTTAGGCTTGAGGACTTTCACACATGAGTATTTATGGTTATTGCTTATCTGGTGCATAGATGTGACAAAATACCCAACAGAATCAAATGCAGTGGGGCGAATTTCTTATGGTCCATGGTTTTAGTCATGGATCCATCAAGGGGAGAAAGGGATGGAGGAACAGCCCACACCCAGTAGTGGGAGGATGTGACTAAGGCTGCTCACACTACAGCAAATCAGAAGTGAGAAAAAGAGGCACGAACCAGGGGCTGGATATCTTTCATAGATCCTTTCCCTAGTGACCCATTTCACCAGCTAGGCCCTACCTCTCGCGATAGTACCATGGGCTGAGACCAAGAATTCAAACCACTTACCTGTTTGGGAACATTTTATGTTCAAACGCCAAAGGGCAGAACAGAATTAACTTATAACCAATTTTAAATCTATTTTTTTTTGACACAGGGTTTTACTATGTGACCCTGTCTGGCCTCCATCTCACCATGTAGACTTTTACGAGTTTTGACTCACAGAGATCCACTTGCCTCAGTCTACTAAATGCAGAAATCAAAGATATGTGTTACAGGGTTCAACAGTTATTTTTCTTTGAAGTAAATATCAGAATTTTATCGATTTACACAAAATCCAGTATAAAAATTCAATGCCTGTGTGGACAACAGTTGCCAGTGAGGACAGCTGTAGGAAACACAGGGATGATGTTAGCTCATTTGAACTGCCCTAAACGCTTTCCTGCAGAGGCAAGCAGGCTGTCTGCAGGACTACATCCTGTGGGGAGCCGCTGTGCGTCCGTCATGCTTGCTGCCATGGGCCCAGATGTCTTTCTCAAATTTGCAGCAGGCAAAGGTTCTGCTCCACAAGGTTCCATAAGGAACTGGGGAAGATCTCTCGACGGCTCTGAGCAGGAGGGATAGGATAGATGGGCAGCAACTTGGTGAATCGGAGCTTCACTGCTTCAGATGTTGTCTGGGGAGTACAGGGTCCTGGCTGAGGGTATCCATGTGAGCAGCATATGCATTTGTCTCGTACTTAGTGCCCCAAGGCCACCACCAAAACAGAAAAGCATGCCTTGTCATCAGCAGAATTCTTTGCTCTCAGGGGACGAATGCACGTCATAGCTGATTTAACATTAGTTCTCACCAAGTGCCCCTCCTAATCTCATGTCTTCTTTTTGAGTGTGGCTTCCATGAGCACAGGTGGGAGGTTACTTACTGAAGCATGGGATCAAAAATCATTACAAACGTACATAAAACTGTCAAAGAATTTTTAAAAAAATGGAAAAAAGAAATTAGAACATCAGATCTATGACTTACCCAAGAGTATGCAGAGCATAGCGTTTTGACACCTAAGAATAGAGGGGTGCACTCAGGAACCCCTTTCTTCTTACGGACATAGAAGCGAATGGGGCAAAATACCATCATGCATTTAATGACAGACCCTTCTGAGAGACGCATCATTAGGCGCTTTTGTCTGTGTGACATTGCTGCATGTGTCTAAACTGACAGCTACAGTGTCTCTAGGCAGTGCAATCTGGTACCACCGTCATGTAGCAGCCTGCCACATACCTTTGCTGTCACTCAGAAGTGATTGTAGTGTGCTTGAGTATTCTCAACCTTGTGCAAAGTCTTGAACCTCTGTAAAGCCTGTTGGCTGTGTTTCCCAGCGTTATGAACATAATTAACTGCTGTTCAGCATGGAACAAAGTGCACATTGCTTTGCCTCCATATCGCCATGTAGCTATACAATCAAAACAAATTTACAAGTTTAATAAAGAACAGTCTGTAAGAGCCAGCACTTCCATGTTAATATTAATATTCCTTAACTTAAAAATGCTTTACTGTGACAAAAAGTGACGTATATGCATTTTAATGCTATACCTCAAATTAAAGTTTAACAAGAACCCATATTTTACCAGAACAATTAATCAAGTACATTTTATAGCTCACTCCACCAGTAGCTACTGCTCTAGCTGCGTAGATGGGACTTTGGTGTGCATGTGGCCGGTGTGAATATGCATCATACAGCCCTGAATAGTCATGGGGTTTCAGTAGTCTGCTACCACTCTGTGCCTCGTGAAGCTGCCACAGTTTCCCTCTGCTCTCTCGTCTTGTTGCACCTCACAAGCCATAGGCAGTGCATTACCCTGGTCATCTGCTTGATATACTATAGGCCTTGACTCCTGACTTAGAATGGATTCACACTCCTGAGCCCAGTGACATTACCCATAGCTTTCTAATTGAGTGAGAGTTGTAGGGGCAAAAATCCATTACGTCGTATTATTTGTCCCTGTTGCTGGGATAACATTCCTGTATCATTCAATTCACACCAAGTGTATGGGGATGCGTAGTATAGTCACAGAATTATGTACCCATTACCATCATTTTAGAAATTTCTTTTTGCCACTTGTCCCCTGTTAACTGTTATTTTCCATTGTCTCCTACATCTTTATCCTTTCTAGTTCCAGAACCCCCTACTCTGCTTTCTGTTTCTGCAGGCTTGTGCACTGTGGAGATTTCTGTATAATGGATTCATATACTCTGATGTTTGGCTTTCTTCTTCTTAGCTTGATGTTCTCAAAGTTCAGTTTTGTTGCAGCATGTTTGAGGAGGACCTTGCATCTTTTATGGCTGAATAAGGTTACCCTGTAGGGACTTCACATTTAGTCACTCGTTTGCTGTGGATGTTTGCATTGTTCCCACTTTGGGCTCTTTATGAACCATCACAAGCTAGTGTTTCCCTTTCTTTTCGTGGGTGTGGAAGTGGAGGCCACACAGAAGCTCTATGTTTAACATCTTCAGGGACCCCTGGGATGGTTTGCACAGCAACTGTTTTCTTTCTTCTTAAGAATATATGAGAACTCCAATTTCTCTATATTTTCTTAGTACTTTCTATCGTGCACCATTTTAAAAAATGATAGCCATCTTCAGGAATGTGAAGTGGCATTCCACTGTGGTTTTGATTTCTATTTCTTTGATCATATGGTTTGAAATGTAATGCTCTGAATGAGCATTCAGTGGGCTGGAGACTGTGAGACAACATGCTAGGATTGCTGAATTCCCAGGTTCTCCACATCCTAAGTAAGATTTCAACACCTCTCAAATTTAGCTTCTTCATCTACAACTTGGAGTCTTTACTCTTTGGTACCAAGGTGAAGACTCACTAAAATTAATATGCATAAAGCTTTTGGCACAATACCTGGTGCCTGGCAATCTCTCCCAAACACAATGATCTTCTCAACTCTGGCTATGAAACCCTAAAGGCTTTGTTCTATTTTCTAGTTCATTGTCAGCCTTTGGTAGGCTTGCCATGTTGGAGGCATTTGGGTTGGGATTCTGGGCAGAGGAGGGCAGCCGTAGGACTCAGCCGGTAGTTACCTGGAGCCTATTCTGATTCTGAGTAGAATATTTATAATCTTCTGAGGAGTTATGAGAGTGTAGGCTGAAGTGAAACTCACTGTAGGGGCCTAACAATGCCTGGGCAGAGGGTGGTATGGTTTATTCTCTGTGATCCTTAGACACAGGTATCACTTGTTTAGAGTGTTGACCAACAAGCAGGACAAGTTTTACCATGACTCTTTTATACATTTAGAGGGCTTGGGTATTTCTACCTGTGCAGTTAGAGCAAGCAGCCTTCTACCCTGCCACTGAGTGAGTTTACCCTCTTGGCTCCACTCTCTTTGTTGGATGATGTTACGACCATCTCTGCCTTACTCAAAGCTCTGTCCTGCTCCAAGTTCACCTGGGCAATCATTAGGGTTTTCTGGGACGTGATTCATTTGTTCTCCAAGCCTGTGCTTTCCAAAAGACAAACTGACCTCTGTTCCATTATAAGGAATTAGCCAACACTAATTTATAGTCATTTTGCTTTCCATTAAATGCTGAATGGAAGCTAGAAAGGGCCTGGGTAAAGGCCATTCAGGAGGTCCTAATCTGAGAATATCTGTGGCCAAATGACTACAGGCTTCCAAATCCAATCGCTGGTGTTGCTCCTTTGTCTAGTGTCAGATGCCCCTAAATATTTGTGTTGCATATGGAAACAAAAAAGGCATTTGCTGAAAGATTTCTCGGAAAGCTCGTTACTTCAGGAGGCTGCCAGAGCAGTGTGAACACAGCAAGCGCGGCTGAGGTTCCTTTAAGAGGGCAGTGTGTCCTCTGAAAAGGTTACACAACTGTTTGCAGCAAGGGGTACACTACCAGAAGCAGCAGCTCCCCTCACGCTTCCTCCTGTGTACCTCACCTTGCTCAGAGAGTCCTTGGGCTTTGGGGACAAGAATGTCTGAATGACGAAGAATGTGTCACAGGAAAATGATATTCAGTGAGTCTCCAGGCAATGATCCCAGCTGGCAGCACCACAGGTTCAACTTGGTAAACATGCTGAGGGCTTGGGAAAGGTCAGTTGCATGTCCCTTTTCACTCACTGTTTCTCTCTTCATTTGTTTCCCATGCTGTTAGGGATAATGGTCATTCAAATGTCTTGTCTTGCTTCTTCCCTTGAATTAAAGATGCAACCAGGGAGCAGGAGTTAGAAAAACATTCTAAGGTGATGGTGTATAGAGGGCATACAAGTGACATTGAGGACTGATGGGGTTAACAACTTATTAAAGAAAAGCAGTTTGCAAAGGCAAAAAATAAAAAGAATGGTGCATGGGGGCCAGTGAGTCAGTCAGCCTAGAGATTTAGTTCAAGCCATGACCAGCTTCAGAGTGGAAGAGACCCAGAGAATTTCCTAGTTTATAAATATGGGAAATGGTGTCCTTTTGAATCTTGATCATCTCAAGTGTAAATATTCATCAATAGTAGTATACAGTAATGATATTCTTATAGAGCTCCAGTAAGAATAGACACAGGGAAGCATTTTGTAAACTGTAGACACTGTCTCATGTGTACCATTAGACTTTATGGTCATTCTCTGGTCCAGAAACTGCTCGGAAATGACTCAAAGACTCTAAAAACAATATACTCTTTTTTACTTCCTAGTTTACAGTGACTCAGAAGAGGCCAACACTTAGCTTAGTTGGGGTATGGCCACAAAGTGGGAGGACTTTGATTAAGACCTGCACATCTTCATGCTCTGCAAAATCTTGACATGTATCTCTTTCTACCATATGATCTGTACTTCGTAGAAACACCAATAGCTCATAAGCACTTTCAGATGGACATTTAGTCTATCTCTCCACCAGTTCACCCCACCCAGAGAGGAACTATGTTCCCAAAAATTCAGCCCGCCTCGAGGATAGAGCTCATTGGTTGACACGTGCTTTTGTACTGTGTGGGTTTGCTAGAACAACTAGAAGGGACAGTGCCAAGTGGAGGGCTAATGAGTGATGGAATGCTGAAGACCGGTGCCACAGCTATGCTATTACAGTCATCCAAAAGTTTGAATTCTTACCGGAAACACAGAATCTCAAGTAAGAAGGGTTAAACTCAAGTCGTGATTATTCCTATGGCCTCAGGCTAACCTTTTAGCTTCTCAGACATTTTTATCTGAAAAAGGTAGAAAACATGCAAACTAATCACAACACCATTGCAAAGGAATCAGGGAGGACAAAATTTATGACAGTGTGCTTTTCAAACTGTAAAGTGCCCTTGTTTAAATGATGGTCTATCTTTTTCATCCTGTAGTCCCTCTGTCCCTCAGGGGAAGCCCAGGTGGCTTTTCTGCATAAGGCCTGCATTCTGTCACAGGTGTGTCCAGTGCTCACTGAACTCTTGTTACTAAGTAGTCACAACCTTTACCTATCACAGTGACTTTTTAGACCAAGTGGCTGTGAAGACGTGAGAAGTGTAACATCCATGACAGCTCAAGGTCCATGCTGCACTTCTAATGAAGCGGTCTCCAGCCATCGTTGCCTTTGAATACCTGCTGTGTGCACTTTCCATCATTTTTATGATAAGAAAGGTGTCAACTGTGGTGTCTGCAGAATCCTGCTCTACAAGTGGGTTAGTTTAGGGCATTTCATTTCAGATCATTCTGCAAGACTTCACCGGCATGTACCCTATTCCAGCTGGCAGTAGATTTTCCTCAGGATGACGATAGCATATATCTTTTGAGCCTAACTATGACAATTCAGAAGTTCCTCGATCCCAAACAAAGACATTTGTTTTCTTTAAAGTGATAGCTTCCTTAAGGCCACCTGCATGCTCATGTCTGGTTAGAAATGCAGCTCCCCTTAGGTCCTCACAGAGCTAGGATCCCTTGACCCCAGCTTCTTTCATAGGACCCAGTAGAGGCTCATCCAGTACAAGTTACAGAAGGCAGCTGCACACTTGACTTGACTGGCAGCTCATAGTATATGAAGGGAGGTAGAGTTAGCATTTGGTGTGATGTGTAGCTATCTGGAGAAAATCTGCTCTTACAGAGTCAAGATTTTTTTATTTCACCTGAGGGAAGCTGACATCTTTCAATACTTATGATGCACTGCCAACATGTTTTCTCCCTTTTGGGTGCCAGTGACAACTGCCAAAACTTTTTCAATAAAAGGGTATGGTTGACAGTTTTATTTTGCTACTGTCTTTTGAGACTCAGAGGTGGTTTATTTAATACTAAATTATAAAAGCATGCACTGGAAACCTTGGTTTGATAATATTAGTGAGATAGGAGCAATTCTTTGCGGGAAGGAGAACCTCCTAGAGAAAGCCCTAGTTCTAAGATCTGAAGACCTGGGCTTGAATCCTAGCTTTCCCACCAATTAGTTTGATGACCTTGTGTGAGACGTTTAACCTTCGTTCATGTCATTCATGCTAATATCCTGCTTTGTGAGGTAGGGGATAATGAGGACTGTTCATGCTTCAAATGATCCAGTGAGTGTCAGGTGACACTAAGTGGAAGGTTATCATCCCAGAGACATTATCCTGAGAGCCACTGTGAGCTGGGAAGTACATTGTGAATTTCTTGGACTTGATCCTGTAATTCACAGATGGGAGGAATAAATTGCTATTGTGTATAAACCATCTAGTTTATGGTATATTTTTGTATCTTTCAAACAAGTGAAGATAATATCTAGCATAAATAACTGTAACATATCTCAGAAACTCACAGAATTTAGATATTGTCTCACCCTTCCAAAAAGACACCATGCCCCAGAACTTGACAAATAATGGCCAACTTGCTTCCAATAACTGAATTTCATTCTAGCGTCTTCTTAAGTCTTTTGTGTCAATTCAACTTAGTTGACTCCAGGATATGTAGAGCCCTACATGCTATACAAGGCACAAAAACAAACAGACATCATCTATCTCTGTCCTCAGGAGTCACACACTTGTTAATCCCATCTTTTTGTTATCTCTCTGTTGTCTCTACTCATGCCTATGTGATTATATATATATATATATATATATATATATATATATATATATATATGTATGTATAATGTGGAAATCTACCCTGGAGAAGGATTGTGCCTTTGAGTTCATTGAAGAAAGGGTTCCACTGCTGCCAGTATCTACTCACCAAGTAGTAAGTTTTCTCAGAGCAAGAAGGACTCAGAGAAAACTGGGTTCTGTGGATGGTATAACCAGAATAAATGGTAAAAGCTGAAAGGTACACATGACCTTGGGTGAATTGGTCCAAAGTAGGACAGGATTTGCAATCAAGGATTATTCCTAGGTGACCATGTAAAAGACCAAGACCCGATCTACATAGTTACAAGGCTCCAGTTTCCGCATACGCTGACGTGGGAACTACCTGTCCTTGGTTGTTACTTCTATATCAGAAAAGAACAGATTCATTCTCTGATGGGACTATAGTAAAAGGTGCCATTGTCACGGTTCCATGACTGCTTCTTCTAGCATGTTTACATACTCATTCATTCATGCTTTTGTTCAACCAACAAATGGTTGCTGAGTATCCAGTGTGTTTCAGAAAATCTTCAAGATAATCAGAGACCAATATGAGAAAAAGAAGTTCACATGTTACTGTCAATACATGGATGAGAATTATTCCTGCAATGGACGTATCCACCTCTAACAAGTGCTGTGAGGGACAACAGCTAGGCCCAAAGAAAGAGACTGGGAAGGTTGGAAGGAAGGGTGGAGGACAAAACCAGGAAGATGGTGAGAGCTGTCCAAACAGCAGTGTACTCCATGAAATGCCCCTAACCACTGATTTTAAAGAATGTCACAATTGCCAAGCAGGAGAGCTCAGAGGAGAGTGAGATAAGATTGGAAAGGAAGTGAAGAGCCCTGAGCTTCAGACTTTCAGTGTATGAAAAAAAATGAGGAGACAGGTTATCTGGAAGAGTATGCTACCTAGGATTTGCTTTGGTTTTACAGTGCTACAGGGAAAGGTGTTGACTTAGAGTCTCGTGCATGTCGGTCAAATACTCAACCATTGAGTTGCATCCTCAACCCAGCATTTACATCTTCAAACTTCCCATGACTTCTGGATGAAGAGAAATTGGAGGTGGGCCTGATCCCTGAGCTTCAAGGATTTGGGGTAAGCTCCTGTGTGAGTCTCCAAGAGACAAGATAGACAACCCTGACTTTGGAGTAGGATACTGGCTTTAAGAGGGGTGTTTTGGGTCTTGGGAGACATTGATGAGACAGTCTTGGAGATTTGCTTATGCAGTTGCAGAGACAGGAGTCTTGCAGACACCATGGGGAACTGAAGGGAAGGCAGAAAATAGAGTTTTGGAAAACAGGGTTGAAAGCATCAGGAGGGAGTGGCAAAGAGGCCTCTTGAAGAGTTCTGTTCTTGCCCCTAAGTATTCTGCACTAAGCCTAACTTGCTCAAACTTGTTTTAACTTTAAGTAGTTTTTGTCTTAGACATAAACTCCACTGTGCTGTTTAACTCCATAGTCAGCTCTGTTTAGTTTTCTGGTCTGTCTGTGTGAGAGTGTTTGTGGGTAGGCACGACTGAGAAAAGGTACTGCTCTCTGGTCTTCAGCTCTGAGTTTCTAGCCCCATTGCCTGGGAATGTGGATTTCACTAGCACAGGCAGCCTCTTCCACTTCCCCCTTTCCCTTTCTGCTCTGCTTGTTAACTTTCACCAGTGACCCAGTAAGTTCACTTAGCCTGAGGATACCTAAAACTTTTCTGTTTTTTTATATTCAGTTTACTGGCTATTGGCACCCGAGGCAGTTGGTTAAGCTCAATCCTGGATGAACAGTCTCTCCTGAATTGAAGGTGCTTTCAGGAACTATGGTGGTTTGGAGCCCACTGTAGATAGCTTTAATATTTTGGATGAAAAACAGTAACCCATGGCATCCCAGACCATTAAAGTCTTAAGTGACTTCTAATGACAATACCTTACTTCCACGGCACGAAAAAGATGTTAGTTAATATTGGATCGATGAAGAGCTCATGACTTTGGGGGATGTCATATGAAGAAGTGATTTTATTTCATCAACTTCACTCTTGCTGACCAGTCCACCCGTTTGTCTATCCATCAAATGACTATAAGCATGTTTGTTGAGTGTTCACTGTGTGCTGAAGATGAGGCATGGGGGACATGAGTTAGGAAAAGAAGCACTTTGACTTGTCTGCACTTGTAAAGTGCTTGCTGACCAGGAGGTACACTAAGGAGGATGGGGAGGTCTGGCCTGGGATACTGCAGCTGGGGGTAATAGCTACATGACTTGTATTCCCTTGCCACAATCTCTTTTGATGTTTGTTTGCAGGCTTTTGAGTGAAAATTTTGTGCATGTCTTATACTAGATGGCTGTATAAGACACCCGTGTCTTCTTAAATATCAAAAGTAAGATAGGCATGGTGGTGGATGCCTGCAATCCTAGCATTCAGGAGGCAGAGGTAGGAGGATCAGGAGTTCAAAGTCATCTTCAGCTTCACAGTGAATTTAAGGCCAGTCTAGTATTCATGAAACCCTGTCTTGAAATAAATACATAATAAATAAATGTATGAAAGATTTAAAATGTCTGCTAGCCTAATAATAAAAGTGTTACCCTAGCACCAGGTTTATTCTGGGTCTGTAAGAGTTCCTGTCATTATTTCTATATCTATCTATCTATCTATCTATCTATCTATCTATCTATCTATCTATCTATCTGTCTGTCTGTCTGTCTGTCTGTCTGTCTGTCTGTCTGTCTGTCTATCTAATCTATCCATCCATCAATCCATACATACATACATCCATACATCCATTCATACATACATACATATATCTACACACACACACACACAATGTCCAAAAGAACAAGAGAGACAAGAGTGCAAATCCAGAGAGAGAGAGAGCGAGAGAGACAGAGAGAGAGAGAGAAAGAGAGAGAGAGACAGAGACAGAGAGAAAGACAAACACAGAGAGACAACATCACACAAACAATATGCAGAAATTGTTCACTTAGATGCAGGTAGAGGTGACATCTGGAGTGGGCCTGGAGCTGGGGAACTGGGTTTGAATCCCTGATGCTTATGTTTAAAGTTAAGATCAGCAGGGCATGCTTTAAATTCAGCACTAGAGAGCTGGAGATAGGAGGGCCTACTGTCTAGCCAGTGCAGTCACATCAGGGAGCTCCAGGTTCAGTGACATATCCTGTGTCAAACAAACAAACAAACAAGTGGACAGACAAACAAATAATTGAAAGCTAATAAAAGTGGCCCTTGAAAGAAAGATTAGGAATTTTCAAGAGGCAGGAAAGCCAGTTTAAAAGCTGAGGATTGCAAATGGTGATTTTATATAAAATCTCTTCTTCTGAGCACAGAAAATTATTCTACTAGTCTCAGAGCACAGTTTTGAGAGTATGTAGGGAGGAAGGAGCTAGAAGAGAGACTATAGCCAGATTGAAAAAGGCATAAGATGTCATAGCAAGAGTCTGAATAAAACAGAGCCCCTGGTGCTGCAGGTGGAGGTAAAAAGTTTCCTAGGAGCCTTGGATAGTTTTGTGCCCCAGCTACATCACTAAGTGGGACCTAGACAGAGTGGGAGGCAGTTATAGGGCATTAGCCAGAATCCCCTTCCATGATACCCATTCCCATAGTCTTGGGATGAGGTCTAGCATTCTTTATGTTCAAATACTTCATGAAGAACCCAAACATTGTGCCAGGGCTTTGCTGAAGTCCAGTGGCTCTCTCATGGTGCTCACAAGGCAAAGTGGTGGCCTAGAGAGGTGAAGCCCTTTCCCAATGTCACCAGCTAATTATCGGCAGCAGCAGGGCTCAAATGCCGTCCTTCTGTTCCTAGTCACGCATCCTCAGCTGACCCGGGCTCAGAGTTTTGACCCATATGGGTTTCTCATTTACCTTCTCCCTTGCATCTTTCTGCATGGGTGGAGGGAAGGAAGGACAGGGTTCTTTTCAGGGTGCTGAAAGTTTGTGTCCCAGGCAAGGTCAGTTCAGCTTTCTTATTAACATAAGGTAGATAATAGATGCCTAAAATCCGAGGACATAAATATTTTAATGTAGCCATATCATGTTGCAGTTTCTTTCAGACCAGCACTTCAATTTTTATTTACTTTTATGTGTTGCTGGCTTAGGGCCATGAGGTTTTCCATCAACAGAAATGGCTGATGATTGAAGCTATTTGCTTTTTGCTCTAGCAAAGAGGAGAGAAAGACCCTTTCTCCAAAGCAGGTGTTTTTAGATCAAGATGGGCTGTTGAATGGCGCAGTGGGGAATAGACTTAGCAAAGCAATGCAGTAAATTGAACTGGTGTCGGCTCCTGATTTAATGCGCTCCTCAATTTCGTCATGAATTATATATTCTTTTTCAGATTGATCATTCCTCCCACTGATAAAGGGACAGTGCTGTGCTGAGTGGCTTTGGCCCCTGACCTAAGAAATACTCTGATGCATCAGAATTCCCTGGGATGACAACTGGTAGGAACTCTGGAGACTATAAATCTGCAGAGCCAAGTGAGGGGCGGGGCAGGCTGGGTGAAGAACTCTTGTCTCCTTTAAATGCATCTGCATCGACTGCCATAATGGCCAGCAGTTCCTTGTCAGCTTTGTACTCAGTGTCATTTGCAAATTGATTGTTATTCTTTGGAAGCCTTTCTTAATTAAATAGTAACTGCAGTTATTACCCTCAGACAAAGGAGATAGATGAGTGTCTGACAGAGGATAGACTTAGTTCCTTGGATAGTCTCTATCATGGACTCTGGTGTGTTTAACTCCTGGACATCTCATTTCTTTTTGCAGCAGTTTGTCTACAAGGAGGATAAACCAAGCAAGCCGGCGTCGCCTCATAAAGAAATATGAGTCGGGTACTCTGATTTCACTTGTTTCAAACAGTACCTCCTCAAACTTTCTGTTGATCAGATGGGCAAACTGAGGCACAAGGATTTTAGAGGTTTGCCCAAGTTTGTTCAGAGCAGGAAAAAGGGAGCTGGGATAAAGCATCAGTGCCCTTCTGCTCCAGTCAGATCCCAATGATCCCCTTCAGCATCATTTCAGAGCCTCTGGAGGCGGCTTGGGCAGATACCTTTCTAACACGGCCAGTGGCTGTGAATCACTGCTAGGTACCAGAAATAGTTGGGAGCGTGTACATAGCCTGGGCCACAGCTGGGGGTTTTAAAAATGTGAATAAGGACCCAGGGTATGTACCTTCAAAGTTCTTCCAGTAAATGTGATGGCCAATGGTGGTGCTGAATGCACGTCCAAGCTTTTATGTCACACAGGATCCCATAAGGAAATGTGAAGCAGAGTCAGGATGCCTGCCATATGAACACAGTCAGTGGGCACACTTGGGAACAGGTAGTGCCATCAGGGGAACCTCAGAATCCTAGGAGGGTAGAGCTTGGTCCTTGCTTCTGGGACACATATCCTACCCTGGAGCTTTGTGACTCTTGGATAAACTCTGCTGGCTTAGGGCCATGTCAGCCTAATAGCTGGTCCAAGGTAATGCGTCCCTTTTATCCACACTGACCCTCTCATACTTCACAGCCCTCCTTGTTTCTTCCCTTCTTCCGTCAGAAATTCTCTGTACTCTCAGAGGCTTGGGTCACAAGCTGCCTTTTCCATGACTTCTCAATTGCTCCTTTCTGAAACCCTTCCTTCCCTTGTCTCTCTGGGACTCTGCCTCTGTGGTTTCTTCCTTAGCTATTGTACATCTGTCAGCGTGTGGATAGACTCACTTTCCATCTCTGTGTCCCTCATCATTAGCCATGACAGAGACTTGCATAATGGCATTTATTTGTTGAGTTCAGTTGACTTATGCTTCTTCTGAGCAACTGGCCCAAATGATCCTCTACTGATTAAACACATTTACACACACATTTACCACCTACTAGAGACTGAATAGTTGACAAGTCCATATTGACAACTGGAACAGGCCACAGAGGTAGTTAAATGTGATGTTTATCTGTGTGAACATGACGGTCCCAGACAGCCGTCGTTTGCCTGCTGAGTCAAGGCACCTTTCAGAGTCAGCCTAAATGTTGCCTTGTTGTACTCTGGGGCTGATTTTAGCCTAGCCTCTCCCATAGTGGGAACAGAAATCCATTTCCGTTTTGTTTGTTTCACTTCCTAGCCCCTTTCCTTCTCTGTTATCATATGTGACAGCCTGTCCTGTGGTGACCACCTTACTCTAGTCTTCAGCAGTGGTCTCCAGTGAAGGTGGGGGTGGGCAAAGGGTGGTGCTAATCTAGGTTGGACAGATCGAGAGCGCAGGCTGGAGTCAACAGAACTCTTCCTTCTTCCATCATCTGCAGATCGCAAGCTGTGGTGGGCTCAGGGCCTCCCTGTGTAACATACCGTGTCTGGTAGAGTGTCTAAAAATGGCCTTGAGGGAGGGATTTAGATACACAGGGTGTAACTAGGACTGGGATGGTACAGAACTTTCTGTTAAAGCAACACCGAGCAGAGCTAAGAAGATAAAGTCCTCAGGCTCCACACATCTGTCAGCAGACACCTGAAGGGGGCTCCTGAGGGGCTACTCAATCAGCTCTGGGCCACTTCTAAGCCCAGACCACCTTCCATATAGACTCTGGCCATGCTGAGAGGCTCCGGCTCAGTATACATGTAGTTCCCTTTCTTGAAATAGTCCCTTTTTCTCCCCGCTCTGTCTAGGTAATCTTAGCTCAACTTTGGATACTGAATTACACCCATTCACCAAAGCCAGAGGTCTGAGCCCTCTGATCAGAGTTATTCTATGTTGAGATTATTCTGCATCATGCACTATTGAGATTTCAGGACAGGTAATTTTTTCCTTGGGGGGCAACATCACAGAATATTGAACAATGTCCCCATCCCTTACTTACTAGAAGCTAGTAGCATCTCTTTTATTGTGACAACAATGTCTCTAGCTGTAGTTAAGTGTTCTTTGGGGGTTAAGAGTCATCTTTCTCCCACTGCTGTCTCAAACTCACCCTCTGCTCCTTTTTCTTTGTAACATTCACTACATTTCTTTGTATGCATGTGTGTCATATATGTGGAGTGTATGTGTGGTTGTGTGTGTACCCGTGCCCATGTGCAGAGGCCACAGGAGGAGGTTGCTTTCCCTGCTCTAATACTCTCTGTTTTATTCCCTTCAGACAGGGTCTGCCACTGAACCCAGAACTAGACTGGCAGCCAACAAGCCTCAGTGACTCTTCTACGTTTATCCCCACGGTGTTGGGGTTACAGGCTTGTCCACAGCTATACCCAGCTTTTTACATGAGAATTTAGGATTCAAACTCTGGTTCTCATGCGTTCATAGAAAGTGCTCCTGCCCACTGATCCATCTTTCCTATCCCACAGGTTTCTTGGGGCTTGTTTAGTGTTGACCCTCTTCCCTAACTCTCAGCATCCTGATGGCAGGGACAGAGTCTAATGGTCTTTGCTATGCCTAACCTTTCGAGTCACATAATGCTGGCAAAGGAATGGACAACAAAGGCATCCAGAGGCACAAGATTTCCTCTCATGGCAAATGGTCACTTGGGGAAGACATGAGAGGGGAGGTTTTAGCCTTGAGTGTATGCACGACTGGATGGAATTTTGGCTCGCTTCCAAGCACCCCATGGGTAACTAATTAAACTACAAGTGCTCCCTCCATAGTCAGGTGCTAAGTGTTCCCAAGAAGGGGCTGATGTAACGTAGGGAGTGACCTTTAAGTGGATCAAGAGTCACATGAATATGGAATGCCTCTCTCCTCTCTCCAGAGAGGTCATTTGACACATGTCCTGAGGGGTAGGATCATGCTTGAAAGCTTTAGAAAACAGCTCTTTCTAATTCTCACTGGAGCGGGCACAGCCTTCTGGTGTGTGATGTGGGTGGAGGAGGAAACCCAGCACTCTGCGGGGTGCAGGAGTTGCCTGGAGCAGCGATCTTCAGACTTGAAGGTTCCAGCCTGTATGATTTATCGCTTTATTTTTCTCTCCTTCCTTCGCTTTTACGACAGGCCAAAGGACCACAGGCTGAGACAAATGGCGACCCTTCGGGCTCACATTTGGTTTCTAGGGCTGTGGCAGAATCCACTTCAACCTTTGTTGGATGAGGAACTATGTGGCTTCCATGTGCTTGATCTCAATGAGATCCCCAGCCCAGTGAAAGCGGGCAGTCCCTCTGCTTCCTGGGCGAGCGGATGGAAAAGGGGCAGCTGGCTGTGGTATGTGTTGCACAGCTGGACAGGAGCCACCCGTTTCTCTCTGGGCTTCCCTGTGCCTGCCTCAAGCCTGACCTGAAACCCTTCCACCCTATACTTCTGTTCCAGGAGCTACCGTGAGTGGGCTGTGGCACGATAAATGTTGTCATCACCGTTGCCTCCGTGGCTGCGCTTGACTGTGCCTTGGAAGATCTCTTCCTGCCACTGCAGCAGAATGTCTTAGTCACTGCACTTCTGAGACAGCACAGTTCTCCCTAGAAACAAAAGAAAAGATGAGAAATAAAGAAGTATGAACCCAGAAGGACAAAGGGCAGAGGAAGGATTGCGACTATAATCTGGGGGACTGTGGTTGGATGAGTAAAAACCAATGCCCTGAATATAGGGGTGGGGTGTGTGCAATCCAGGTGCTTCGGTCAGGGTCGAAAGGGGTGCAGGATGATAGGGGGAGAACCGAAAATAAAGAGAAATTCCCATTTTCAGAGTCTCAGAAGGCATGTAGATGACAGAAGCTTCGAGGTTCCTTCCGCCTCCTGCCTCGTTGCCCCCACTCCTGCTTTTGGACCTCAATAGAACATTCAGGAGTATTCTGAAGAAGATGAACCAGGAAAGTCTTAGGTCTAGAGTGCCACTTACAGTCCCAACCTGGGCAGACACACTGTGCAGGCAAACAGGAGTTCAAATGAAGATCTGCACACAGAATGACCGGATCCCAACCACCCTTTCTCCAGATGGTGCCCTGGATTCTATCAACCTTCGCTGGAAGAGAATTCTCTTAGAGGAGCTAACAGTGTCGTCTCCCGGAGGGTGGCGCGGCACACTACATTCATTAGCCATTGGCACTACGGTGTTGTGTCTTCTCGGTAATCCTGTAATGGTGGCTGCACCCCTTTGGGTGTGGCTTCCGGAAGCCAAAGGGGTGTGGCCACCGTTACAAGTTCATAGACAAGAGCCAACAGTAAACTGGTGGTTCCCAACCAGTGGGTCATGACCCCTTTGGGGAACTGAACAACCCTTTCACAGGGGTCACATATCAGACATCGCATATCACATAGTTACATTACAATTCATAACAGTAGCAGAATTGCAGTTATGAAGTAGCAATAAAAATAATTTTATGGGTAGGGGTCACTATAACGTGAGGAACTGTATTAAAGGGTCCCAGTCTTAGGAAGGTTGGGAACCACTGTTGTAAACTATCATACTGCAAAAGTTGTATTTTTTTGGCAGTTGCCAGAAAACCAGCTCACTTTCTTGTCACAGCTTAAGAGATAGCAAGCTCACTTTGGTATCCTGCTTTGATGGCATCCTGGCTGCAAAAGCCTCGCGCTATGTGTTTTATCCTCCTTTACAACCTTACTTTTTCACCCTTCCTTCCCACCATCCAGTCTCTCTATCCAGTTTCTGTCCTCAGGTATTTTTGTTTGAAATAGCAAAGGCTTGGATCTACTTTTATGGGGACCAGGAGTTTAATCCTCATTCCCTGCTCTCGCCACTGGCTGCATTGTTACTTAATCATGTGGATGGCTTGTGCTTCTTGCTATCTTTCCATCTTACTCTGAAGCTTTAAGCACAATCTCCGATTCTTGGGAATAAATAACAAGTGATTTGAAGCTTTTTGTATTCTTGCCAGCTTCCATTATCTAGAAATATGTTGGCAATCTTATATAAACATATGTTTAGATTTCTATAACTAAATGTATCCTTATGTATGACTTATTATTATAGCTGAATATGTCTATAAAATGTAACTTTATTTACAGGTGTGATCTATTATATGAATCTACATTTTTATTCAATCTTACATGTACCCAACAAAGAATGTGTCAGATTTTTCCCCCTTGAGAATAAAATCACATTATTTGTGAAGACTTAGCAGAGATGAAATTAGTATAAGCAGCAGTTACTCTATTGAATAAGTATTTCTAACACATAGAACAGTCTAATGTTCAAGTATGGTGTTATGAAATATTTCAAGGTGACCCTAGCTCCAGAGCTAAAAAAAGATGTGGTAAAGGCTGGTCCAAATGGATATTTTGCAGAAGGAAGTCGGGGTGGATTAGGTATAGGGTGAATTTTGAAGTCAGATGATGGGTTTCAAGTTCTTCATTTACTGACTGGCTCTGTGATCTTGAGATAGCCACTTAAACTTCCTAAGGGTTCTGGGTGAGATGGAGATCTTGCTAACTATTGCATAGTTTGTTATGCAGCGAGTGATTACATATGCAGGAACATTTGACTATAAATTGTCACATATTTAAATCACTGTGTGTCTAATCCTATTCGATTCATTTTGTTTTACCCCATTTGTTCCAGTGCTTTAGGGCAAACACTTGTTGGATGATAAATTAGTGAATTTGTGAGACAGTATTTTACAATTTTTTTGCCTGCATCTGAGTCATTTATAGATACTTATAAAAGTCAGTGATTTATACGTTGTTCCTGAATAACCAGAACATTTGATTCAGAAATAAAAGTTAACTATTTGGGCTTTCAAGTCTCCTGATTTGGGACATTTAAAAACAGAATATTTTAAATGAGAAATGTCATAATCTTGTTCAAATATGAGCTCATAGATCTTTTTAAAATCTTAAATATAAAAATATCTTATTTTTACATACATGACAGCTGAAGCTCAGAGACACTTAGAAGCCAGTGAATTTCTATAATTTATTCAGTTTCTAGGTTTAGAGTAAGTATGGATACATGCACAGAAAGCATGCTCTTAAAGTATGTTTTTAAAATTGCTTTAGGCATCATGGACAATACAAGACAAAAGTATGTCCTTAATGAGATCATAATCTAGAATTACTCAAAATGTTTCAATGTACTGATGTACTAGAGCTGATCTGGAACCATAGGGCCAGTGTACTAATATACTAGTGCTGATCTGGACCATAGGGCCAGTATACTGATGTACCTCTAATCTGGACCATAGGGCTAGTGTACTGATGTATTAGTGTTAATCTGGAACCATAGGCCAGTGTACTGATGTACTAGTGCTGATCTGGACCATAGGGCCAGTGTACTGATGTACCTCTAATCTGGACCATAGGGCCAGTGTACTAATGTACTAGTGCTAATCTGAAACCACAGGGCCAGTGTGCTGATGTACTCGTGCTGATCTGTAACCATAGGGCCAGCAGGGTGCTTCCGTGGATGACTTTGAGAAGAGGAGCTGGCCTTGTGTCATAGGAGAGCATCAGATGAGTTTTTAAGAAAGTGCTTTTAGGAGAGATTGGAAAGCAAGTGTGGGGAGCAGGAGAATGAGAAACTCAAGTGAGGAGAGATTAGCCTGATCCTGTGGGGGAATCACGGGTGGTGAGTTACATGTCAGTTTGCTCTTGACTTGGATGTAAAACAACTAGGCTTTTTCTTTTGATTTTTTGAGACAGGGTTTCTCTGTGTAACAGTCCTGGCTGTCATGAAACTTACTTTGGAATCAGGCTTGTCTCAAACTCGTTGTGGTCCACCTGCCTCTGCCTCCCAAGTGCTGGGATTAAAGGCATGCACCCCCACTGCCCTGCTACAACTAGTCTTTTTATTGTTTCGTTCCACTCAACCATTGGCTAAGGGCCATGATGGACAAGGTTAGACGATTTTTTGACTGCTGGGCATCTTAAGCTTTTAAGAATATGGCCAAACTAAACCCCTGAGCAAGAGGTTGTATTTCTGAAGAGAGTCACAGGGGTGGGCCACTAGAAGCAAAGACACACAGAAGGATGCCAGATATGCAGAAGTAATGATCAGAGTCTCAGGTAACCCTGGGGAAAACCAGCTGCTCCCACAGCATTTGACTGGTGACAGAAGTTTGAGGTAGGAAGGATAGTAAAGGCATCATTGTAGCATGGATAAAAGAAGTCATTTGCTCTCTCTCTCTCCCTCCCCCCCCTCTGTGTGTCCTTTTTCATCTGCTGATGGGGTTTATCCTTCTGTATTCTGTGAATACATGTTTCCCTTATTGGTTGATGAATAAAGCTGTTTTGGCCAATGGACAGGCAGGATTTAGCCAGGCAGGAAATCCAAACAGGGATAGAGAAAGGTAGTAGGCAGGGTCAGGGAGACAATATGTAGCTACTGGGAAGGTAGGATGCCCAGCATTCTCCAGTAAACAAAGACTATGTGGAGATACACAGATAAATAGAAATGGGTTAATAATTAAGAAAGAACTAGCCAGTAAGAAGCTTAAGCCATTGGCCAAATAGCTTATAATTAACATAAGCCTCTCTGTGATTATTTTGGACTAAATGACTGCAGGACTGGGCATGATAGAAACTCCATCACACACTGCAAACTTCTCCTCATTCTCCCATTCCTCCCCTCTTCTATCCACCCTCATCTTCTTCCTGATTTGTTTTCCTTCTGTAATCTGGTTACAAGGAAAAGCGAGCCAGTAGATGCACCTCAGACAGAAGGTGTATACTGTAGGGATATTCAATCTGAGGAACCTCGGAAAGGCCTGGCCCTGGGGCAAAGCAGAAGAAATAGAAACAGCAGACCTTACAGAGCTAGAACTTTGCTCAGAACAAACAGGACTCGTGGATCTTCTGTGAGAGGCTCCGATTGTGGCTCATATATCTGCTCTAATCTACTGTATCCCTACCACAAAGCATCTCCTCCCACTCAATAGACCTTCCTCTGTCTTGTAACCAAGTGGCCCTTGCTCCCCTTGCTCATGGTTCTTCCATACCCAAAGATCTCCCTCTAGCTCAACTTTGACCTTTTGCTTCTCCTCATCACCTGCTCTCAGCATGTCCCGCCTCAGATTCCAGGGAAAGGTGATGGGGTCAGGAGGCATTTGCTGGTGGTGCAATCACGAACTGCCGCCCCCCTCTAAGCTATCCCTCTAAACCCAGATATTTAAAACTGGTCTGACTGACTTTGCTTGAGGTTAAAAAGCAAGGTAATTAGGCCGTCTGCATCTGGAGGACAGTTGTGTTGATTCTTCTTTTGTGTGGCCCCTAGAGGACCTGCCCCTGATGCATGAGCTGGCTCTTTGGAACCTATTCCCTATGGTGGGATGCCTTGTTCAGCCTTGATGCAGGGAGGAGGAGCTTAGTCCTGCCTCAACTTGATATGCCTTGCTTTGTTGATTCCCATGGGAGGCCTTTACCCCTTCTGAATGGAGGAGGAGGAGGAGGAGTGGATGGGGGGCAGGTAGAAGCGGGTGGGAGGAGGGGATGGGAAGAGAGGAGGGAGAGGAAACCGTTCATGGCATGTAAAATACACTAAAAAATGATGAAAAGCAGCATCATTCAGTATAATAACAGTACCTAAGCTTATGTTCTAGTTTGTCATCTCTGTTGCTCTA